GGCCGGGACGGGGTGCAGGGAGAAGGGACCCCCTTAGGGAAGTGATTTTACCCCTGGGCTGGCGCTGGGGAGGCCGCGTCTCATCTCCTGTGTTCACTTTTGGGCCCGTCACGACAAGAAGGACCCTGAGGTGCTGGGGCGGGTCCAGAGAAGGACAAGGAAGCTGGGGAAGGGTCTGGAGAACAAGTGTGGTGAGGAGCGGCCGAGGGAGCTGGGGTTGTTCAGCCTGGAGAGAAGATGTAGCGAGGTGGGGGTCGGTCTGTTCAGCCAAGTAACAAGCAATAGAATGAGAGGAAATGGCCTCAAGTTGTGCCAAGGGGACGTTTAGGCTGGATATTAGGAAGAATTTCTTCACTGAAAGGGTTATTGGTCGTTGGAATGGGTTGCCCAGGGCAGAGGTGGATTCCCCATCCCTGGAGTATTTAAGAGTCGGGCAGGCACAGCGCTCAGGGATGTGGTTTAGTGGAGGATTTGTCAGTGCTGGGTTAATGGTTGATCTTAAAGGCCCAGGGGTCAGGGACAGGCCCAGGACAAGGGTCGAGAGAAAGGGACAAAACCTGGGACACAGTCTGGGACACAAGGACAGGGTAGGAGGCAGGGACTGGCCCTGAGATGGGGTTCAGGACACAGCCTTAGGATACAGACATGAAGCCTGGGTGGCAGGGACGCGACCCAAATGGGGACAGGGAGAAGGCCCAGGACGAAGCTCAGCGGGCAGGGCGACAGGAGCCGGAGGGGGCACGGTGCGCAGTCGCTCGGCTGGAGCTCTCCTCCTGGCTCCCTACGGCGCCCGCATCAAACAGAGAGCAGGACAGTGAGCTTTCTAGATGTTTACACAAATACCTTTACTTACACAAGAACCTGGCCAAAGGCATATGTTAACTCTACGTGCCTTTGGTTTCACAATGACTTGAGGTTCGTTTGCCTTTGTTGTGTTGTTTTTCTCGTGTTCCGCAGTGTTGAAAGCCAGGGAGCTTTAGGGAGGGATTTAAATAAAGTTTTGACCTACAGAATCATGGTGACTAGGCAGGACAGCGCCGTGTTCCCATCTGGGAATATCAAGTATATATCAGGTGCTCTGTGAGCAGACTAAGGGCAGGCGGCTGTTGTGGGTGATTCTTGTGATGAAAGTCCAGAAGATGACAGGCAATAATCTTTCCTTACATCATTTCCAAGCAAACAAAAATATCATTCTTCCTTTATTTTGTTAGTGATGTAGATCATCAAAAAGCTGACTAGGTTAGTATCCATGAGTGTATATGCCAGCTGCTGATTCTAATCCATACGTCCCTCCCTCGTGTCCTGTCTGAAGGAGAAAGAAAACATGGCATGGAGCAGCTGGTGAAGAAAAGTGAATACCGCTTCAAAGTGCCACCAGTGAAATTCAATTAGATCTCTTCTTCCTACACTTTGATGTATGTTGTGTTGGGAGGGCACCTCGCTGGTTGATTGGTACTTCGTCGCAGAGTTTTTTTTTTTACAGAAACTGTGTAGTAATGGGAATGGGAGCATCCTCTCTCCGATTCTAAGAACTTTGTTCCTTTTTCACAGTCCTTACTCAAAGTCCTGAGCTTCCTCAGGCAGCAGCAATTCTGGATCTCCTGCCTTGCCAGGTAGTTAATCCCTCTTCCCAGTCAGTCCATGATCCAGCTGAGTTTCACTTCTTGCGGGCTGTCCTCATCCTTCGCTGAGGAGAGGGATTCCCCTTTCTCAAAACAGAGGGGCAAAGAAATCAAGTCCCCTCCCTTTGCTTACCTGGCCGACTTTAAACACCCTTTCCCACTAACTGCAGTCTTTTATCTCTGCTTTTTTGGCCTCGTGGGTGGTGCAGATGTGCAGCTCCTTTCCAGCCCGAGTGGTTTGGCTTTTTGTTGTTGTTTACGGGGTGGCAGGATCTGCTTTTCCACAATGTTGAGAAAATAAAATAACCCACCCAAGTGCATCTGCTGCTTAAAATGATCTTCCCCGTAAAAATAAATTATCCTTCTATCGTTGCATAACTCCTAATCACAGAATAATAGGAGAACAGAAGAGCTGAAAGCAAGCTGGTAACAATCAAACGATGCCACCGAGAAGAATATCGTTAATCTTCTGGATTTTACATCGCAGATTATTTTTAAGGTTGTTTCTGGGCCAGGCACTCGTGCTTTGGTGACTGGCTCCTTGCTGTGGCCTTTCTCTGAGCATCCGTAAAGAGAAAGTCTAAAAGGGGTGGAACCTGCGTAGATTAAATTCCTGCTTGGGGAAAGCTTGTGACAGGCTTTAGGAAGCAGATGCCTTTAGGCTTATTAGGAGTTGGACACTGACAACTCAGTTTGCCTTTGAAAATCCCGTCTGTTTGAAAATCACAGGCAAAATTGTCGACCAAAGTCCAAAGAAGGTGTGTGAGAGCACTCTGGGACCAGAAGCATCAGGAGAAATGCAACAGCTCCTTTGTTCCAGGTTGCGTTTAAGTTGATCTTTTATAAAGCCTGCAGTGAAAAAAGAAAAAACAGTTAAAATTGGTCTTATCAGGGGTGGTGGCAGGCTTGTTACATCCTTAGCTGCTTAAACTTTTTCCAAGAAACTTCACCTACATATCGAAGGCTGATGTTGAAGGCATCTGCTGTTACATCACTGAGTTTATAGCAATTAAAATGATGCCACATGCATGACAAACGAGCACGTGGCCGCCAGATCAAGGGAGTACTCCTTGATCAGCTGGGAGCTAATCGTTTGTTTTTAATAGGTCCTGGGGAAGACAGCAGGAAGACGGGGCTGGTGGAGGAGGGAGAGTCACTCCCAGATCAGAGTGCACACCCAGGTGAGCTGACAGCGGCTGCAAACCTGCAGCTTGAGCTGAATGACTTCATGGGAAAAGTCAGAGAGAGCAGAATTTATCGTCAGAGTGTTTTCCAGAGCAGAGATTTTTACAAGATCTTTAACAACCCTATTACATTTGTGCTTTGACCTTTGTCTCCAGGCTACCTAAATAAAATAGAATCTGGGAACAACATGTACAGGGACGCTTTGTCTTCCTCTTCTCCTAAGAAACGAGTGACAAAGTGGAAACGTCCTGTTGGTTACCTGCTTGCTTTTGCAGCCGGACTGGAGCTGCTAGCCTACAAATGGAGTCTGCCTTTATGTACAGCAAGGTACAGGGTAGACAGCCTGACAGGCCGCAGAAGAGCTCTGTGGAGAGAGTGAAATTATTTAATGGCCCATCTTGCTGGCTTCGTCACATTCCTATTCACAGAGCCCCAAAAAAATGCTTTGGGAGCTCAGAGAGAAGCTACGATCAGAGTAAAAACCTCCTGCTCAAAGCCTCAAACCTATCTCCACAGGTTTATTTTCTTTTTAAACGTTTCTGCTGTACTTCACAAACTCCTGCACGGTGTTTGTTTAGAAAACACGCGGCTCCAGCCTCAGCCGGGACACAGGGAAGCTCGCGCACAGCAAAAATGCCCTTTGGCTTAAGGGAAAGTGCGTGAAGCTGAGAGCCAGGAGGTTATGAGTTTCATACCTTGTCTGTACTCCAGAGCTTTGTTGATAGAAATCTGCTTTTGTCAACATAGCCGGGGGGGTGCCTGCAGACGGCACCTCCAAACTGACACAGCTCCAAGTTTCTGTTTGTAGACCGGCCTCACCTGCCTGCGTGATGTCAGCTTACCGCAGCCCCTGGGCACAGGAAAAGATCCGTGCCCCAGCCAGCTCCAGCAGTCCTCCAGCGCCTGCACTGGCCCTGCCGAGTGCAGGTTTCAACTCCAACTGGCTGGAAGCCTGCCTTGCTCTTTAAATCAGCGTTTCTTCAAGCAGGGCGGCATTTTTGGCGCCTGTGAGCGAGTAAGTGAATGTGGTGCCCAACCCCAAGTGTGTTCACAACCCTCTGCTCCCACCTGGAGCGGAGCTGGGGTCTTCAGCCTCCTCAAACCCCAACCGGTGGAAAAAATCTGCGTGGGGGCATCTTCAGAGAAACCTCTGTAATTGCAACACACATGAAAAGAGCCCAAAGCGTGCAGGTCCGGGGGCGCCCGGGCTACAGGCAAGAAGAAAAACAGCGCGGGGCCAAAGCTAACGATCCCCCTAAGGCTTGTAACTTCGCAGCCTTAAATATTCAGCACTGCAGGGCTTCTGTTGTCTCCTGCCCTTTCTTTTCCTTCTGGGAGCCGTGCAGGAGCCTAACCCTTAGCTTATCCTCGCTGCAGATGTTTGAAGATAGCTTCTGTCATGGGAAGCAACAATGGTCCTATCGACAAGGAGCTAAAAAAAATATCAGAAAAAAAAAGAACGATGCTGATTCTGGTGCCTCCCCAGATAAAATCTGCTTGATACCCACGCATGGCACCGGCAGTGACAGAGAAATAGTGGCACGGGCAGAGGAGGCAGCCTGACAAATAACAGCTTTTGTTGCTCTTTGTCCCAAGTCTGTGCTGACTTTCTCCCGGGCACCACACGCTCCCGCAACAGAGCTTGGGTTTGATTCGTGCCTTTTTCGCTCTCTACCTGCTGGTAGCTCAGGGGCTAGAGAGGGAGTGACGGCTGTGTTTTCTAGCTCTTGGCTCTCTTAGTTGTAGCTGGGTGTTATCACTTGGGGAGTGAGTTCTCCAAGCTCTCATCCAGAACGAACATCCGTTTTTTACAGCCAGGCTCTCCAGGAAACACTCACAGACTGTCCTTGAAGTTCCTCGTCCCTGAGCTGTTCCTTCACCCACAGCCTGACTCTTTTTTGCCTCTCTAAGCACTTAAAGCTCAGCAAAATGCCAAAGCCTGGCCGCCAGAAGCACTGGGATTGGTTTTTTCTGCCCTTGGCTCAGCCACAGCTGGGAAACAGAAGGCGATAAAGAGGTAAAATGGGATTTTCTGCCAGTGCTCACTGCACAGGCCTGCCTGTGCCTTCTAGCAAGAGAAGAGCAAGCGTCTTGCTGACTTACCACGACAGCACTGCTAGGCACACCAGCAACAAGATTTCTTTCCAGGCAGCTTTCCCGCTGTGCCATTTGTGTGAAAAGCTGACACAGAAGCCTTGGGAGTTGCCAACAACTACACTGAAAGCAAAGAGAAACAGATAAATAAGCATCCTGGCTCTTTCCCACTGCCATCCCTCGGCACGCGATAAAGGCGCCGTGTCTACGGCTGCTGTAGAGCACTTGGCATTCCAAGGGAGGGGGGATTATGGAGCTGGTGAGTAGATGAGATGCCGCGAAGGGTGAAAAGACCAAACACGGCGTGGACTGCGAGGAGCAGCAGCCGTACGCAGCCGTACGGACGGGCAGTGTTACGGAAATGCCGGAGAAGCTGCTTGACCCACTGGCTCGGGTGATGGATGCGCAGAGGCTTTAAGGCAGTGCACGAGGGTGTTCTGATTTTGACGGCCTTTCCAGAATCCGCGCCCAAAATACCAGGCCCGGAACTGGCCGGGAGAGGGTGGGAGGAATCCGTGGCCCCGTGTGAGGGGCTCTCTCCTCCCTTCCAGACGGCGGCTCCCGCAGCTGGAGGTGTGCCATGCTGGCACTGGCTCTGCGAACCCCACGCTCCGCTGCCTGCTGTGAGTCACCGTTATTACTGTCTGCAAAACCCCGCCGTAGCCCCTTTGTCTAATCTTTCCGATGGTCTTGTGATGATCATTTTCTGTGCTTCACAGCTTTTAGCACCGCAGCCTTATTAGCCCCCTTTTTTTTTTTTGGTAGGCATAAAGGATTCTTCGTCTCTTAAGACACCACATGACCCAAGAGGATGTCCAAAGCTGTTCCTGCTAGAAGTAGGAACGAAAGCCAGGATCTAATATGACAGCTTTAATTTCCATCTGTTAATTACAGGCACAAAGAACATCACAATCACTGTCTCACAGTTCACCAACTTGAATGTAGAAAGAGACTGTGCATTTTATTTCCCCTTCCCCTTCGCTCGCTCAGTCCCGTTACCACGTTTCCCTGCAGAAATACATCATGGATCTCGCCTTGAGCACTGCCCAGGAGTTTATTTGGGATGGAAAGCACGAAGAAGCGATACCTGTAGCTCTGCAAGCGCTGCACTTCGGTGCTGAAGTGTACGGCCCCGATTCTCTGCGCTTGGTTCCCGCTTATCTCCTCTTGGCTGAGGCCTCCACTGGTAAGTATTGTCTGAATAGTAACACTGGCAAGGACGAGGCCTCCTTTGGGTCAGGTTTCTGGTTTCCTTTTACCGTGTAACTGGGAAGGACCAGCTCTGCTTTTCAAGGTTGTGCCATGATTCCACCCTGCCCTGCCTCAAGGGTATTTCAGAGAGATTTGAGAAGTCACGCACAGCCCTGTCCCTTTCCTGGGGAAAAAGAATCGCTCCCCGGCGATGAGAGATCAATGAAAGCAAATGAAATATTTTCTCCATCTCTACAGATTCCCACAAGGGAAATTCTATTCTGGACCTCCGTGGCTTCGGATGACTCGCAAAAGCATTAAATTCCCGCGGGTGGGTGGTTGCGCTCTTATCTCAGGGAACCAGCAAACGTTTCTGAGGCTGTCGCATCGGAGGAATGCCTCGGCTCCTTCACAAAAGCGCGCTCTGCCCGAAGCGGAGCTCTTTTGTCATTGATTGCTTTGCAAAAAATGTCAGCTT